TACTTTATCTAATTTACTAAATAAAAATGGTGTATTCTTTTATTTGTTTTATGAAGCAAGAGGGTGATATTTAGGTGCCACCTGACATTGAGATACAGCGTGAGAAACACAATTAATCAGTATAACACTGGTATTGGTCAGTACTTTGTAAGGCAAGAACATGTTTCGACACTGGTTTGGTGCATATTTACTTTGTAAGAGGCAGGTGTTTGTAAAAGTGTAATTTTATCATTGTAAACTATAGAAATCAACGAAAAAACTGAAGGATGATTCTGTTGTATAAAAGTCATCTTGTTTGTTTATGTGTAATTATTTCTTGTGCTTTCTTTTTCTAAATTTTTTTTGTCCAGCACTTACGGCAAGCTGGGATCGCTGGGAAGTTCGTTGAGTTTTTTGGACCTGGAGTCTCCCAGCTGTCAGTCCCCGACCGAACCACCATTGCCAACATGTGCCCAGAGTACAATGCTACTGTCAGCTTCTTCCCTGTCGACCAAGTCACACTCAAGCACTTTAAAAAGACGAGTGAGTTAGTCACAGCTTCTGTTTATTTTTATTATTTACTGTTTATTTTATTTTATTTTTTAGTTTCCCAGGCCAACATGTAATTTTACACCATTCCAGATTTTACCCAGGAAAAACTTGAATTGTTGGAGTCTTACATGAAGGCTGTAAAACTTTTCCGAAGCTATGATGACCCTTCAGAAGACCCCCAGTACTCTGAGGTAATTTGTCCAAGATGTGATCTCTAAAAGTCTCTATTGAAAAGTGCAGACTTTTAGAGATTTAATTTTCTTAATAACTTTACAGTACATTGCCAAAGGTTGAAATAATGAGGTCATAGTTTTTGCAAATGATCCTTGTGAGCCTAAAACTCAGTTTCAGGCCACCACTGTATTCCCCAACTGGTTGGCAAGTTGCTAGGTGAAGTTGGTTGCAAAGAGGTATGTTGCGCTGCACTGAAAACCTCCTTGGGATTGCTTTGGTAGCAGTTTGCCATGGTTGACCATAGTCTGAAGGAAAGACGCCAAATTGTCTGCAAACACTTGCCGACCACTGGCCGAGCAGCAGTGGAACTGTGAAACGTGCCCTGCACACTGGAAACAGAGAATGTCCGGCTCCAAAGTTAAAGCTGCGCCTTTTGAAACATGTTGGTTGTGCCAATAAGGCACAACTTTTGCTTGAAAGGTAAACAGGTTCGATTTCCACATTTACTTCACCTTTTCAGGTTTCATTACTCAGCAAATAGTTGGCCAGTGTTTAGCAGAGAAGTCTGCTTCATACATGAAAACTATGGGGAACAGCTGCAGTCTAGCAGAGACCACAGTAATCACAGGGAACCTCAGGGAACCACTCGCCAACCAGTTGGGGAACAAATGGAGCCTTTGGGGGGGCTTACTGACTGACTTCAAGGCCTGTGTCACCGAGGCCTAATATGATTGATTTAGGAACACAATTTTGACTGTTGGCACAGAAGCCCCACCCACGCTTTAGCTAGCCAATCAGAAGATGGCTGGCTAGAGGAAGAGGAACTAAAACTGGTTGTTTTAGACAGTGGGTAATTTGAGGGGCAAGATATATTTGTAGTTGAAAAAGTATGAAAAGTAAAACTGTGAATCATTTAAAGTAAATTAAGTTGAGGCCAAGAATACAAATGTGGAGATATGTGATTTTGAATTAAAAGTAATAGATTGTGGTGTTCTGTTGATATGAATGTTTTTATGAAATTGAAAAATGTAGTAATGACACTCTGACAAGCCTTATAAAAGCTATGTTTGCAAATAGCACCCTAGGGGTCAGAAATAGAGGTCATAATGAAAGAAATTACAACTACTGATCTTTGTGCAGGTGATTGAGTTCAACCTGAGCTCCATGGTGCCCTATGTGAGTGGACCGAAGAGGCCGCAGGACAGAGTGGCTGTCAGCAGTATGAAAGAAGACTTTCAGAGTTGTCTTGATGAGAAGGTAAGATGCAAAAACTAAACAATATAACTTTCAAGTTAACTCTTGTGTATTTTGGTTTTCAGTTAAGCTGCAGGATTTGCAGTGTAATTATATTTTCTTTGGTTTGTCTTTAGGTGGGTTTTAAAGGCTTCCACATCGCTAAGGAGAAGCAGGAGATCCGTGTTCCTTTCTTGCACGGTGGTCAGGAGTACCAGCTGTCCCATGGCTCAGTGGTCATCGCTGCTGTCATCAGCTGTACTAACAACTGCAATCCATCTGTTATGTTGACTGCAGGTAAAGGACTGACTCAAAGAAAGAGCCAGAAAAAGTGCATTTTCCCCTCAATGCTAACATAAAAGCTCTAAAGCTTGGAGCTTTTGGTATCATTTTTTAGGGGATATCAAAGTGTCACATCACAATGTCATAGCAGCATGATGTGTTTACTTTTCTTTGTGAACACAACAAGACAAGCCCAGACATGTTCTGACAACAAGAGCCTGGTGACAGTCTCTAATGATATTTAGTAAAAATGGAGCTACTTCAGCCCTCTAAGAGAGCACCATGCTTTGCAAATAGAAAGAGCTAGCAGTGGATGGAAATTACTGAAGCGGTTAGATGGTGGAAACGCAGCTGATTAGAAAGTTTGACGCAAGATGCAACATCACAGAAAATAAGTCTCTTTTATTACGTGAGAATATTGTGCAGCTCCTGATGAGTTACAAGGTTAGTTAATGTTAAACTAAAGTGTTAAACAGTAATTTTACACTTCATTATTAATGTTTTATAACTTCTAGGGAAACAATGGCTACTTTTGTGGTTACATTTAACTTTTGTTGTGTCACTGTCGCTGCTGCTGACACTTTATTTTAATAGAGTCACACTTTGAATTAGGTGGTGTGTCATCACTCATGCAAGCTCAGTGGAAGATATCTTCGTTTATTTAAACGTATAAATCCTGCTGCCTGCAAGCATCAACAAAATGTTGTTCATTATTTTATATTGATATGAATATTATTATTGTAAATTTCTTGAAATAATTTTTAAGCTATATTGCACACCCATATCAGCATCATGTTGCCTGTTTTCACTGGCACTCTAAATTATTTTACAGTCTGCAGCACTGCATAACGTAGAGTTATTTGTGATTGACAGGGCTTCTGGCCAGAAAGGCTGTAGAGGCCGGGCTTCTCGTCAAGCCTTATATTCGGACCAGCCTGGCTCCCGGAAGCGGCATGGTCACGCACTACCTCAATGCCAGTGGAGTCCTGCCTTACTTTAATAAGCTGGGGTAAGTGTATGTACACAGCAAGAACACAGACAGACACAAATATCTCTTTAGCACCAAGGCAATAACCTGGAATAAACAGGTATTTGCAGGTCTGAGGAGGTATGACCTGTAACTGAACACTTAAATACTGCCCAGGTAGTAGTAAACACATAATAAAGCGGTTTGAGTCCTCCAGGAGAGTAGAAAAGCACTGTATAGGAATCAGTGTATTTAAATGGTTAAAAGTGTATTTCTACAAAAACTTAAGGTTTTTGTGTATGTATGTATTGTGTTATCAGCACTAGCACCAGCAGGCCTCTTTCCTTTCAGATCAATGTGGTTGCAAATTGCTCCATTTGAGCGGTTCTGTACCAGTTTACTGAAATAAACCTACATACTAATGTGGATTTGTTTGACTGTTGTTCACGTTGCTTGTGTGAGAGAGAGCGGTGCTGTGGGCCGTGTTCTGTAACATCTTAGACGAGTAGTTTAACCGCCGTTTTTATGTAAATAAAATATGAATAACTAAATGAACTGATCTTGTCTGTTGCCGACTGCTGCAGGGTATAGCAACATTTAATCTAGCCGCGGTGTTTTGCACCCATCCAGTGTTTATAAAATTGGGTTCACCATGAAAGCATAAGGATAAGCTTCTAAAAGGCATGTTACTGTCACAACACAACCTTTAACAAATCTGCCCAAAATTACTGTTTTAAGAGCCAAACAATACATCAACTTTACCGAAAGCCCTTCATGAATGTATTTATGACTTTATGTTCATTTTAAGTTCTTGCATTAATGTTCATGACCAGATAGCTGCATGGTTTAGAAGTAATAAGTTTGGAGCTTTGTCAGCATTGTGATCTAAACCAGTAAAAACTTGGAGCTTGTATTAATTACTACCTGTTCGATGCAAGGTTTGTGTGCTAAGGTGGTGACGCAAAAGACGCCGGAATGATTCATATCCTTTAAACAGACCTGTGTTGCCATTTCCATGACAGGTTTGAGGTGATTGGTTATGGCTGTGCCACATGCGTGGGGAACACGGCGCCATTGCCAGAAGCTGTTGTGGATGCAATCAAACAGGTAGGATCCTCATCGGGCTGAAAGGAGCTGCTGATGCTGTTAGAGCAGTCAGAGCTTCATGATCTCTTTTGTTCTAGGGTGATCTGGTGGCCTGCGGCGTGCTGTCTGGCAACAGGCATTTTGAAGGGCGACTGTGTGACTGTGTGCGTGCCAATTACTTGGCGTCTCCTCCCCTGGTGGTGGCTTATGCTATTGCAGGCACTGTGGGAGTCGACTTTGAGAAGGAGCCTTTAGGTAAGAAATGCGCTCTATTAAAGGGTTTTACCTCAGAGCTGAGGGTCGTCAGAGGATTTGGCAGATTACACTGAAGGGGCATGTTGTGATTCTATGTTTTGTATAAGCCAAAGAAAACCTTTATTCCTAGAAATATTTAAAAAAAAAGACATCCTCTCGTGTTTGTATTTACATTGTTTCATTTTCTCAATACAACTTGAAAAATTCTTAAATAAATTCTTACAAATTTGGTTTCTTGTTTGTTTGAGTAGGTTTGACATCCGATGGGAAAGAGGTGTATCTGCGAGATATCTGGCCGTCCAGAGAGGAGGTCCAACAGATTGAAGAGGACACAGTATTCTCCTCCATTTTTAAGGATCTAAGGGGAAGGATGGAGGTCAGGATATGAGCTTTATTACTTTTCTTCAACTTCTAATGCAGTTGCTGCACAGCATGAGCAGCAGTACGGCGCTCCTTCTGTCTGTCTGCACATTTGGAAACAATGCACCTAAAAAATGCTTTTATTCAGTAGTTTGAACAGATCTGAAGTAGAACATTTCCTTGTGTTTTCGATCTGAGAGAGAGAGTGTGGAAACTGATTGATCCTGAATTGCTAAAAGCGTGACACGGATGACTGGAAAGCATTCTTTGCTTTTTCTTTTTTTAATGTGATTTCTTTCTGTCTTTCAGAAAGGGAACACATTTTGGAAAAATGTTGAATGTTCAGACTCTCTTCTTTTCCCTTGGGATCACAAGTCCACATATATCCGATCACCGTCTTTCTTCAGCAAGCTGGTGAGCGCTCTGTGCTGCACATCCTTTGACTGTGTGTGGACCTTAGAGGAGATGTTTTTACTTCCCTAGTGTTAAATGTTTGAATGCTTCCGTTTTCAGAGTAAAGAGGTGCCTCCTCCTCAGTCAATAGAAAACGCACATGCCTTACTGTTCCTTGGGGACAAAGTGACCACGGACCACATTTCACCAGCGGGCAGCATTGCAAGGGTCAGCGCTGCTGCCAAGTACCTAATGAGCAAACGGTCAGTTTCAGCCTTCAGCCCTTGTGGACACATACACTTAAATCTTTCAAGGCAGCTTCAGTTGGACAGCTTTGTAATCAACCAACGTCAGGTTTTCAAAGATGATGGCAATGGTTAAAACTTGGGTTTAAATGTTTGACGCTCTAAATGAGAACATTTCAGCACATATTTAAAATCCAAAGGAATAAGTGGTGCAAAGGGATTTGTAGTTAAGTTATCTGCTTCATGGTCTGATCGTCCCCCTGTGACATCATCCACGACTCGTGGCATTGCCGCCATCACAGAGCAGCAGAGGAGGTTAGCGTGCATCTGTCTGTGTTATCCATCCTCCATAACACACAAACGTAAAACACAAGTTTATTTCTCACCTAACTGTGTGGAGATGCAAAATGAAACTATAGTGAGGCAGATTTGATTTATTGGTCTGGTGATAATAAGTTTAATGCATCAGTGAGGAAATGAATTAAAAATCAGCTCAGCTGGCGAGCTGTCACCATTATTGAATCAACCATAGGAGTATGGAGGGAAATCCAGGGTTTCTTTCAGCAGAGTTCATACATCATGAACCTCCAGCATTTCGAATTTAAAGTAATGTTTGCAGAGACGATCAAATGAAATCTATCAAGAAAAGCAAGTCTTGTAAACCTGCATTATGGTGAGATCTTTTTCACTTTGAAAATTGAAAGATAATTCAACTCGTTTCAATTTCATTTCTATAGCATAAAATCACAGCAACAGTCACCTCAAGATGTTTTTTATTGTAAGAAAACGATTCTACAGTAACAAAGAGAGAACCCCAACAATCAAGACAAACCTCTGAGCAAGCAGTTGGCGAAAGTAGGAAGGAAAAACTCCCTTTTAACCTGATATTGACTAATATTGTTGACTTTGGAATTGTTCCTCAGACTGACACCGCGAGAATTTAATTCATATGGCGCTCGCAGAGGGAATGACGCCGTGATGACCAGAGGCACGTTTGCCAGCATCAAGCTCCAAAACCGATTCATCGGAAAGCCAGGCCCGAAGACTTTGCACATTCCATCAGGCCAGACAGTAAGTGCAACACAACCTCAATGGTTTCCTTTTAACTTTTGACAAATATTGGGCTGTTTTGGTTTTGCTGATGTACTCACTCGTGCTGCATGAGCTGGCTGTTACCCCGGGCGGGTCTGTGACCTTTGGGTGGCTGCATCTGTGTGTCTAGCACTGCTGATTGCTGCAGGCTCAAGCCAGACTCGGTACTGTGTTGTTTCTGCTGTGTCAGAGCAGCTAAAGATAACTGCTCTCTCTTCCTGTGTCTGCTCAGCTGGATGTCTTCGAGGCAGCTGATCGCTATCAGAGAGACGGCATTCCCCTCATCATCCTGGCAGGCAAAGATTACGGCTCTGGAAACTCCAGGGACTGGGTGGCCAAAGGACCGTACCTGCTGGTAAACAAGCTGCAGTTTTTATAGTTGTAATTTAGCAGAGTTTACACTACAGTAGGTTGACCCACTGTGGAATGTGGAAATGGCCGTGCATGTTCAGCAAACTGTGTTCCACTGTGTTTCTACTTCCTTGCTTTTGTTGTGGTTGCAGGGGGTGCGTGCGGTGATTGCTGAAAGCTTTGAGAAGCTGCACAGGAACCAGCTGGTAGGAATGGGGATCATGCCGCTCCAGTTCCTGTCAGGCCAGAACGCTGACTCACTGGAGCTCAGTGGCAAGGAAAGATTCAGCATCACCCTGCCGGAGAGCCTGAGTCCAGGGCAGGAGCTTACCGTCAAGGTATGCAACACTTGCTGCATTTGAGCCTCTGCAAAGCTAAAGTTATTTTTAAGCTCTAAACTAAATGATGAAACATGTCAGTGACAAATGTGCTAAAATCCTGATTAGAAAAATGTTATTTTAATTCTTAGTCTCACTTTGGGTTTGTCCACAAATGAGTCCCTCTCTGCAGTTTACCAGTCATGTTCGGGTCTCCTTGCTGAGTGAAGCGAAACGTGTGTTTCGTGTTTTCTGTTGCAGACCAGCCAAGGAAAGTCCTTCTCCGTCACCACCCTGTTTGACAGCGACACGGACGTTATCTTGTTCCAACACGGAGGGCTCCTCAGATACGTTGCTCGGACTTTGCTCTGAAAGAACAGCAGCCCCTTGGCATTTAATGTCTTCATCATGGACGAGAAAAGCTCACAGAGCTGGATTAGCGTCTCCAGACTTTAGCGGAACGTCAGTTTTAAGACCCCCGCAGCTTCTAAATCACTACACACAGCTGTTTCAGCATTTAAAAGGGCACCCTTTCTCCTCAGAAGATCATCCAGGCTCGAGAAAAATGGTGACTGTCACTCAGTAAGGAGATTGTATCCTAGACTAACTGCTGAACATAGTTTTTGGTGTTTTATCATGCTGAAAGGACTTTTCTTTCGACACGGAGATGAGCCAAGAAGAAATTGATCCTCCTTCATTTAACTTTAAAAAAAAAGAAGAAGAATTTGGCCAAAGGCTGAGATGGTGGTAGGTACGATGGCATGAATACTTTGTTTTTAGAGCGTAGTACTGCTCTTTCACCCCCCAAACAACAACAAAAACCATCCAAGTTGAATTTTATGAATTTCAGAAATTTGCAGAATTGATGTCACTTCCCTGTTTTCAGTGCTGTTAAGATTTTGCTAATCAAACCTGTTGCAGAAAGTACACTTGCCTCACTTTTAATTGTGGAAAAATGTGACATTTCTTCTTTTTGCTGTTACTGGTCTTTTCCCTTCATAAAGATGGCTTGTATTACAACTGACAGTGCTCGGCATCACATTAAAGGTTAATTAAAACACACTTTCAGCATTACCAGGTAAGCTCTTTGCTCTGTTTCCACTCTTGCTGCTAAGCTAAGCGAAATGACTGCTGGCCAGAGCCCGAAGCTTAATTTAAAGAACTGTGTTGAATCTCCTTAGAGTGACTTTTACAGTGAAGACAGTGATTTATAAACAGTTTTTGCTCAAAAAAAGGTGCTGCAAAACATACCTGGGCCTTATAATGAAGGAGACGCTGCTTAGTAAAAATGAGCTTTTCAGAAAAGAATTAGGGGAACACTTACATCACACACTCAGTCAGGGTATTGTTGGCTGAAACATGGAGGCCTGTGCAACTCTCCAGGGATAAACTTTCCCTGACAATCACTGACCTGCTGTCAGACCAGTCATGCTGGATGATGGTGTAGGCACAGCTTCTCCAGACTCTGTCACGTGTGCTCAGGATGAAGCTTGCTGTCATCTGCAAAGAGAACAAGGTGCCAGAAACTTCCTGTTTCTGGTGTTTTTTGTTGAATCCCAGTCAAGCTACGCATTGCTGGGCAGAGAATACTGGTCCCACTAAAGCCATCCTCATGGAGTCTGACAGTTGGGACACCTGAGTAGTCTGATGGGGGTCATTTGTTTTGGGGCTCTGGCAGCACTTGTCCTGTTCCTCCTTGCATAAAGGAGCAGATAGCGGCCCTGATCTTGTATCAAGGACCTTCTACAACCCTGTCCAGCTCTCGTAGAGTAACTCTCCTGGTATCTCCTCCACACTCTTGAGACTGTGCTGGGAGAGCAAACTTTCTAGCATTGGAACGTTTAGATGTGACATGCTGGAGGAGCTGGACTACCTGTGCAACCTGAATGGGCCGCTGGTACCGTCTGATAGGCCACCAACAAAAAGCAAAATTAGAGAAAAGTCAATCAGGAGATATAAAGAGACCTCCAACCTGTGTTTTGTCATCTCTCCAATGAACCTGTTGGTCTTTGCTCCCTAACAGAAGTGACTGATAATCGTAAAGTTTGCCTAACGTTGTGTTGTAATGTATTGATCAAGTGTTCCCTTAATTTTTTTTTGAGCAGTGTAATTAAAACTTCACCATGTTTGACTACTCTGCAGTGAGATGTTCATCATTATTTGGCACTTAACTTTTTCATTTGTGTAAAATTAATATTAATGATCACCAAGGCATAAAAACTGCATGTATGAAATCAGTAAAACAAATCTCATTTAAAACTTGCTAAAAAAAAAAAAAAAAGACCTAACCTTGCCTTACCTAGTATAGAATAAATTAGTGTAGTTCTTATAAAAACAGTGTAAGTTTGTTTTCTAGATCCAAATCTCTGCATGGACTAGCTGTTTATTCCATTTCACACCTGTTGAGGCAGCTACTTCTCAAAGTCATATTAAAATGACGTCACAGTAAATCGGCACGTCGGAGAAAAAAAATTACACACTTGAGTCGTTATTCTTTATGAAATTTCCAAGTGTAAACAGTGCAACTTTTATTGATTTGAATTAAGTTTCTATGACACAGTGCATATTGCTGACATTGCTCTGCACCTTTAACCACACACCTTGTTTTTATTCAATGATGTAAAAATAAAAGCAAAAATAGTTATTTATCTAACCGGCAAAGAAATGTCTGCAAGTTAAAAGAAAGCCGTAATGACGACGAAGGATACAGTGAAGCGCAGTCGCTGCACACCTTCAGTTTTTACATGAGTGCAAATGTGACATTAAAGCTGTAATCAAAAGGGATGGCAGTCCTGCCACGTAAAGCTGTGACGCAGGTTTGTTAAAAATACACGAGACTAAGAAAGAATGCACTCCACCGTCAGCGTGCGTACTGAAGCCATTAATCTTTTGTTTGCCAATCAGCGTCGTCCATCCAGCCCCGAGTAGTCCAGTTCGGCTCTTGCAGGACATCTCGTTGCCTCCTTTCTGATAAATCGCGGACAGCATTTTGTGTCTTTACGCCAATCAGCAAGTGAAAACGTCAAACATCTGGTGGTACCTCCTCTGGGTATTGTCTGGTGTATGTCCTTTGAAACTAAAGGAACTATGTGGCTACTTTATGTGAACAAACAGGTGTTTACATTCACTGCTTCAAAGAAAACTTCATCTTGGATTTTTTTGATCAAAAGCGATGAATGCCATAAAACACTGACAAAGGCTGCATAAACAAACTGGATTAAAAAAAAAATGGACGTCCATGCGAAGCCAAAACTTCTGCATTTTGCAAGCTTTTACTCAGATGGCACAAATGAAGGGTAAATCTGACTTAGAACAATCAAACTGTAGAGTCAAAATTTACCAAAATTACCAAAAGGTTTTTGTAAATAAGATAATAAACCAATTGTGAAGCATTTGTCAATGTAAAAAAAATGATTGAGTGCATTTTCTTATACACTTCTGTGCAATCTAATTACTTTTTACAACCAAAGGTGGTGCCCCCTGCTGGCCAGTAGAAAGAATGGCAGATTAAAACACTTTCAACAGCACATTTTTAAGCTCACAAGGTTGCATCCATCTTTTCTATACAGTCTGTGGTCAAAAATGACTCCCCTTAGTGCGCTTCACCAACTGTACACCGTTTTATTTGTGTGGCCAAATTTAGAATAAGTGCCCTGAACGTGTCCATTATTTTGTAAAAATTCATAAAATTAGAGTGAAAATATCCAGTAAACTGCTGGATGTTCATCAGAAGTAATAAATGAGTGAACAGTAGTGATGTGGGACTCAGCAGTAGTCACCCTTTAATTTGTGCCCACAGTGCTGCACTTGTTAGCAGACATACCACTCTCACATGTCCAATCACTGGACTTTTTTTCCTTCTGTTTTTTCATAACAAAGGGAGCCAACAGTACAAATTATGGGATAGAGAGGACTTTGCACGGTGTTTGAGAACATGCATACGCAACCAAGAACTATTGCCCTCCGGTGCTACTAGAAGTGAATAACAAAGGGCTAGTTTGGACTGTCAGACGAAAACAGGACTACACCTTGGGACTAATCCACAAGTAAGACTGCTGTGAGTTACAGCTCTATTTACACCACCTCAAAGTTGAATCCTACCATCCAGAAAGCTTCTGGGTGTCATCTGACACAGCATGAAACTGCTTGCTTAGACTTGCTCGAGTTGGTTAATCACAATCAGCATTTATTTCCTCTAAACTGTGTTTGCTTGCCTTAAAGTGTCCAACATGACGCAACTAGACAGAGTCTGACATGATCTTTAGGGACTAGATTATCCAGTTCATGTCTCTGCAGGTTCATATGCAAGGCAGACTGAAAACATTAAAACCATTTTTATTTGGTAGTAAATGGGGCGCAACCGCAGTTCTTAAACATCAGCGCTGAGATGACAAGCCCACAGCTCCCTCTACGACTTCCTCCTAAACTGGTGTCTTAAGCCAAAACACCATTCTCGCTTTTATAAAGGCACCGACATAAAGTTTGCACACTTACTGAAAGAAATTTGAAATCGTTAACCCCACAACCTCAGCACGCGACAAAGCCCTTGACCACAACTGCTAATCTAATGCCGCGCATCACCCTGCACCCATTTCCCCTCAGCATCATAGTACTTCAAATTAGAAAGAAAGAAAGAAAAACATGGATGGTACTTAATGTATCCACCTGCTGGAATCGTTCATAAATCAAATTTGTAACTTATTTAATCCCTTTCAGTCACCAATAAGAAACACAGTGAGAATTTAGCCACTTTCTTCATCTGGGTCCCCAGAAATATGTGATGAGAGAGCAGCCAGGCTGTAAACAGTGAACCACAGCTGATGTGAACGAGCTCCTGATCAACACAAGGGAGGAAATCCTGAGAACGAATGATTCTCCTGTGGAAATTAATGGAATCGCTCATCCACACTTCTTTTTTCCCCTCTTTTCATTTGTCCGTATCTTTGTTTATGCAATCTATTTTCATCTATTAAGAAAATATTTGTGGAAGGTTAAATGAAAATATACAATTATTAATACAATAGAATACAGAGCTATGTGTTAAAGGTGATTTAAAAAAACAAAAACAGAATTGATTGTATCTCCCTTTACAATACACACATTTTCCTTGGTTAAAAGGCAAAAGAGGTAAAGTGTATGAGAAAAAGGCAGCCTGTTGTAGTCCAGAGGGCTGGTGTTTGAGGATTAGGCGATTGCTTTTGCTTCTGGTAAGAACGCCTCCCAGTACTTTATCAGCTGGAGAGAGAGGAAAAACCAACAACAAAAACAAAGAAAAAACAGGAGTCTTTAGACGCCAAATTAATTGAGAATTTTGAAAAGTAAAACATCACAAAAAAAAAATGTAGCCTATTATATCTAAAAAAACTGTCTAGTAAATGACTTGATGCATGCTCAATCATCCAGGATGGAAATCCCAAAAGGTTGATTCTGTTCATCTGGACGCAGCGTTTTCAGTGGGAGAAATGTTTCATCACTCATCCAAGTGACTTCTTCAGTCTCAGCTGACTGCAGGTTTCCCAACCTTATAAACAGTACATTTGCATAATGACTGAAACCAGCCCCCTCTAGTTTCAGTCATTGTGCAAAGGTACTGTTTATAAGGTTGGGAAACCTGCAGTCAGCTGGGTCCAGTAAATGACTGGAAACAATTTAAAGTTGCTACTTTGGGCTCTTTCATATAAATAATCAAAACTCCAAAAATCCAAAGTAAGCACACAAATACATTTACATAATATGTATTTCAGTGAATCACAAATCACGAATATCTTTTAAAAAATGATTTTGATAATGATGTGTTACATTAACATTCATGTTAAATTAATTTCTAATATTCATTAACCATTGAAGTGAATGTAAATATTTGGTTATTTGTGAATATTTCGCTCAGACTTTTATTTGATAAAAGTTTTCATGACTTTGTCTATTAGTCTAAGCTGGATTAGCCTCATTTTTCTAACAAACTACTTTACATAGTAACCAGAGCCTCACTGCAATAATGAAAAAGCATGAAGCACATGCATAAAGAATAGTAAAGAAAATACCATTTAGGGAACCAGAGTGAAAAGTGCAAAAGTTAAATACAAAATAAAAATGTTTGCAGATTTACTGAGTCGTTTACTTATTTTGAATTTGGGAGTTTTGGTCCACACAGAAACTTGAATATTCTTTATCTGCTTTATTTAATTTTTATATAAAAAAAGTATGTAAAGCCTTGTTCCTGTCGTCTTACCTTACTTATTACCTTGTGTATGATTTACTTTTGAAATTGTCAACTTCTGTAGATTATCTGTGATGCTCAACAGTTAAAAACTGACCTAAATCCAGTGCAGTACTTACAGGTTTATGAATATGAAAATGCTGACTCACTCACCTGTTGCTGAGATTGAAGCAGACACTCCAAATACGTGATAACCTGTCTTTTGCAATTCTTGGTCTTTTCTCTCTGTTAGGAGAGATTTTTCAGAAGGATTTATCACTCTCAGCCCGTTCAGCTGTCTGAGCAGTTACTGATGTGGATACCAATAAGAATGAACACTGGTACCTCAAAGCGAATGACTTCCTTGCGAACAGTTGCAGACACTCTTTCAAAGTCTCGCTCGTACTGCGTCACTTTGGCCTCCCACTGTTTCCAAAGATAAAAATCACAGAGGAGTCTTAAACCAAATACAGTGCTTCACATACAGAGATCGTGCAGCAAAAGCTATGGTGTGATTAACGTCAAGCTAAGAATGAACCAAGGATCAGAAAAATTAAAGTTACTACAACGTTGTTCCTAAACTTGAAGAGGCCCCATCAAACGAGGGTTTCAGCCACATCCGAGCTATTTTTACTTTGTTGTTTTTGGCCCATGTCGTACCTCAGCGATCTCCTCCTTGGCCAGCTGCAGCTTATCGGGCTTGTTGGCCCACAGGAGTTTGGCCTCAGTCTCCCTCTTCTTCTGCAGCATGGACTGAGCATCCTGCCAGCGCTGCCACGCCTTCATCCGGTGATCAAAGGACCCCTGCAGGTCACAAAACTCACATCTTTTTACCTTCATGTACGTGCTTTTTAATATTGAACAATATTGGACATTTCACTTCCTATGGGGAAAAAAACCCACTTAAAAAAGCAAAACAAAACTTAAACAGCTGTGA